CAGCCGCAGCCGCAGCCGCCGCAGCAGCCATTACCCGGCGGCGGTCCAGAGCCCCGCGGCAGCCGAGCGAGGGGCGTCCGCCACCGCCAGGTCCAGAGCCATTTCCATCCTGCAGAAGAAGCCCCGCCACCAGCAGCTTCTGCCATCTCTCTCCTCCTTTTTCTTCAGCCACAGGCTCCCAGACATGACAGCCATCATCAAAGAGATCGTTAGCAGAAACAAAAGGAGGTATCAAGAGGATGGATTCGACTTAGACTTGACCTGTATCCCTTTCTGCGGCGGCTCCCCCGGCCTCTCTGCCCCTCTCGCTCCTGGCGTGGGGTGGACGGATGCGAAAAGCGCCCCTAGTCCGGGTGACTGTCCCGCGGAGCCCGGGTCATGTCCCTGGATGCTGTGTTTTGTGGGGCCCTTCGGGGTGTCCAGCCTGGGGTGTGTTCGGCGAGACGGCCTCCGGCCTGGCCGCAAGTGTCGCGGCACCCCCGGTCGGTGTCTGGGTCTGCCTCTGCCTCTGGGGTCTCTTCCCGAGGGCTATTGTCCGTTCGTACAGAACGCGGCGCGCTCTTCGTGGATTAGTGAGCTCGGCGAGCGGGTCCCCTAGATGAACCAAGTACCCGACGCTCTGAGGTTGAGCCTGCTTCGGTTCAATCTTGGCTTAGGCCCTAGATCAAGGGTATAGATCAGATTAAAATGAAAATCGGTGTTGCACGTACGCACATTGCATCAGAATCTTGCAGTGATTGTTTTAGTTTCCTGGGTTGCTTTGATAGATTCTTTTCAAATGTGAGTTGTGGACTGATTTGCATAACTGTAGAAGCGGAATCGTTTTCAGCATATCTGGTGTGCCTTTGGGGGCAAAAAGTAGTTTTTTGTTTTTTTTTAAAACATGTTGAAACCAAGTTAATGACAACTTTGGACTGCATTCGGAAGTTTTGTAGTTGGAAATCAATAGTGCCATAATCTAAAGCGCTCTTACTAGATCTTTGTTCTATTTGCCTTTTTCTCTCCCAGTGGGGTGATGTAGGCTAGGGTATGAAATTTGCAGTTCAGTAGCATTTCATATTCAGTGCTCTTGTCATACGTAATAGAATGGAGATTGAGTAGTTTTTGATTCCAGATGATAATGCCGTGTAGGTTCAAGGGTGTAGAAAATGATAATTGCAGAGAACTAAACTTCAGTTCTCACTTGAAATTTAAGTATTATTGTGACGCCAGAATTGCTGCTTACCTTTTTTAGGTTTCAGGTCCTCTGACACCTTTGGTATCCGTTGATTTTACTGACTTGTGCAGGATGTCAAGTGTATTTTACCAGCAAATATTCAGAAATGAGGGGGTTTACTTCAGCTTCATATTGTAGGCATGTTAGCTTTTTTTTTTTTTTTTTTTTTTTTTTACACAGGGTATTAAATTTACTGAGTTAGCTTGTTGAATAAAAAAGAAACCCAAGAATTTTAACAGTGTATAGTTTTGGTTGTCTAAAAGTTAGGCCTTTGGACTTCAAATGTCAGTGGTTATCGAAAAGCATTCATCTCTGCAGTTTCAGGTGCAGCAAACTGATTTTGATTAAGGATAGGGATAGAACTCTCCTTTTTTGCAGAATGGGAAGTATTGACAGGAATTGAGAGAGCTATAGGTAGGCCAAAGTATAAGGTATGTGAAAACAGAATTGTTACTGGTCTGAGGTAACCGAAGCATTTAAGCTCTATCAAAACCTCTGTTCAGAACAGAAATTTGGTGGTGTGAATTGTGGCTGTGGACAATATTTAGTCAGAATTATGTAATTGCGTAAGTGTCAGTAGGATATAATGAAAATTATTTCTTAGCAAATATCAGTAACATTTTGTTTAAAGATAGAAGTCTTTCTTCACTACAGTGTCTGTGTCCTGCTAAAAATTGTGGTGAAGGTTTTTTTAAAAATTTTTTTTATCGGGAGATGTTTTATTCCCTTGAATTACGTTAGCTGCTTATAAATGTACAGTTAATTTTGCCCAAGTTTTTGTTTAGAAGTGAATGTAAAACTTGCTGAAGAAGTAGCTTTACAAAACTTCATTTTCTGCTAAGTGAAAAATAGTGTTTTAAAAGAGTATTTGGAAATTTTGGATTTTTGCATTAATTGAAAAATGTTACTAAGACTGATCTTGACCCGCTTGCCCAGAAGACAATTATAGAGAGATTCTTCTTTTTTGACTTACTTCAGAAGCAGTCTACTACTGTTGGTGTGAATTAATGATAGTCATTAAAATATGTAGGAACACAAATTAAATGTTTATGTAACTTTTTTTTGAAAAGCCCCCATTCAAAGAAATGACTAGAATGCTGAGAGTCAGATTCTTTTTCAGCATTTGAAGTAAATTACACTGTATTTACTTTTGCCACTTGATTTTAAGTTATAAGTATTATAAGACTGTAAAATTATTTTAGCAGGTTTTTATATGTGAGTAGTGACGTGATTGGCAATTTCTTTTTTGGTTTCAGAGTATGTGGGCCTCTATACATGAAATTTGTGTGACTTAAAACTTTCTCTAAAACTGAGCTTTTAGTTATGATATACATAGAAAGCAGTATCAAATATTACATCAAATGACTAGTAACACTTAATTTCTAGAGTTGTGGTTTTATTAAGCCAAATGTTGATATGAAAAAAAAATCAGCAAGGAAAGTCAGTGAAGTAGTTACTGTTTTGATAATTGCATTCCCAATAATTTTGATATCCCCAAGTATTTTAGTTTGCTTGGTATCACTTCAGTATTTTCTGTTTAGGGGGCGAGATTAAAATGGTCATTGAAGACTTTGTCTCTGGCAGGTTGTAGTATCTGTTTCAGTAACTAGTCTGTTTAAAGTTAAATTCCTTTATGAAAGTAGTGATTGGAGTATTTTTATCTGATAAAGAAAGATTAGTAATGAAGCCATTTCTCTGAGGGAGATTGAGGATGCGAATTCAGTTTTGAGATATTTTTGCAAAATTGAATTCTAAAAATTTAGCAGGTCTTACTCTTGATGTTAGTCTGAATAGTAGGGATGAACTTCAGACTACAAAAAATTTAGTGTCTTTAGGGTACATGAGAACATTCTGTTGTGTTTTTGTTCTTTGATAGATTTGCATCTTTTTAAATACTGATCTTCAATGTGACTATTTTTAACTTGTAGAGAATATATAGTGACTATTGAAGTTAGCTATGTTATCTTTAAGGTAAGTGATTATTGAAATCAATCATGAAGTTTTAAAAAAAGATTCTATTCAATCTTTATTCTACATTGTTTTGTACCTGCTAAGTTAGTTATATTTCTTTACCAAAAAACATGTCTGGACCACCAAATTGCTATATGATCATTTACAAACTTCATTTTTTGTAATGCTTATTCAAGAGTAAAGCACAATTGAAAGGAGTAATTTACAGTTGATATGACTCTTAATATAGTGAGAAAAGAATTTTATTGCTGACCGTTGTAAAACTTTGTGCAACAGTACAGTCATCAATGCAGATTTACTCTGCTTACAATATACTAAGTAAATACTAAATGTTAGAGATAATAAAATATGGTTAGGTGTAACCACCTTAATTTTAAAGTTAGTTTTAGAAGATAGAGAAAGGTTCTTTTGTTACTATTTTAGAATTTTATTTTTAATAACATAGAAAAGGCAGCTGGTGATATTTTAATTTTTATATGGAACAGTATATCTGCTTTCTCATAATAACCACATTAAATATATAAACCTAGAATTCTGAAATTGCTTACTTTTGGAAGTGAAGAAGACTTCAGTTGTTAATTTCTGATGCTCTCATTCTGAAATTTGCTGTTTGTTCATTTGGTGATAGCGTAATACTTTTCAAGAATTTTTTAACCACTTCTGAAGTAAGCACCTTAGTGACTTCTAATGAAGGAATGGTCATTATGGAACATTTCAACATTCACTTTAAGTAAACATTCCATTTAAAAATTTCTATCTCAATCTTTTTGGTGAGACAAATGTGTAGGAAATGTTTTTGTATTGAATTGTACGTGCATTCAGAGTTTGTAAAGATAAAGTTAGAATTGTGTATGCATATGATTGTTTTCTGCTTACCTGAAATGAGTTAGAGGGACCTCTGCCATATACTACAAGGATTTAGCTTCCGGGAAATGTGTTAGTAACATTATTTAAGAAATTTATTTTCCTTTTTTTCTGTAGAAACAATTGAATTAAAGAAGCAGTTCTGAAGTTTTATTGCATAGAACCCATAGCCCCTCACTTTTGCTCCTTTTTTTATCTTTCTTTTTTTCTGTAGCATTAGCTTGGTTTTCAAAGTCAGCATTGAAGATTCATTTTGTGGTCCGAATTCATTAAGAAAAAGTGTCAGGATTTGCTGCAAAGATAGTGTAAACTTAGGAGATTTTAATCAACTTCTGAGATTGTCAGTCATGATTTCAGTAAATAGTTCTGTTTCACAATTGCTTTCTATCTGGTGGCTTTGACATTAATCCAGTTGTTATCAGAGATACCAATAGTTGGTATCTCTGAGGTTGGGCTAAATAACCTAAAGTTAGTAAGGATTTGCTGAGCAAACTGATAATCCTTAATTCTTTTATATAGCCGTATTACTACCATATATATAGTCTTTGCTAGGTGGCTAAAAGTATTTTGGTCTGTGAATAATGGTTATCCTTGTAAATATTGAGTATTCATTAATGTAAAATACTTGAATTTGTCAGAAAAGGTGAAATAAGTACACTTGACTATTCACCTTTCCCCTAATTAAAAAATTTTTTTTGTTGGTTGCAGAAGAGTTATTAGCAATTTTATTCTTTTAAAATAATTTGTACTAGAATAAAAGAGTATTGAGAAATATTAGCGTAAGAAGAGTAAACATAATTTAGGGTGAGTTAATTTTAGATGGGAGATTTTAATTTAGTTAAGCAGACTTTTTTTTTTGCACAACAGTTGATGTTAGGACATGGGTGGAAATCTCAAGGTATTGGGTATACATTACATTCACTTGTTGGCAGTGTTGAGAATATTGAGAGATGGGTATTGTAGCTGCACCTGCCAGCAAAAGAATATTCTTGACCTCTTCATAGTGTGGAGCAGAATATTGTTTATGCATTATATTTTAAGAAATTATACACAGTTATCAGTAGTTATCATCTTAAATACGAACAGTGAATTTAACTTGTGTTTGATTTCTGTGTGTATATATAAATGAAAAGTTATCAAATCTTTTAACATTTCTAAAAAAGCTGAATTTTTCTCTTTAAAGAAAAGATTACCTTGGGGATATTGTCTTAT